TTGCACAGACCCAAAGGGATGCTCGTGCATCCCTGATGATGCTCTCGAATGTCCCCTCTCAAGCCTGTCTCTCTCCCAGACACAGGCTGTAATTAAAGCTTTATTAATCGTTTCACTTCCAGCACAGGCTGACCAGCTCATCTCCAGCTCTGTTCTCAGTCATGCAGATTATAATGAGCAATTTCAAGCTGTGTTGTCCAGGTACTGTGACATGATATCCTATTGTGTCATCACACCCTGTTGTGTCATCACACCCTTTCATGTCATCACACAACTATACATTTTCCTTCTACTCACGGTATGTTTTGATCTGAATCCAACATACACATTCTGTTTCCAACACAGTATAAAGAGAGGTCCCATGAAGCTGGATTTATTTTTGGAGAAGTCTGTTTGATTTTTCTCCGGCAGGGCACAAAGGATGGCTGCATTTACTGGGTGACACTGTGTGATAATTATCCTCCTGTCAAACTCCGGTGGGGACCAGATTCCTATAGTCCCTCAGCTGAGAGAAACTGTGTATATTCTATCTCATGGTATATTCTATCTCACAGTATCTTCACAGGAAGAATAAATGCCTTTCTGGAAGATATATTTTAGCCAAATATATTTAATTTTAGTCAAACATAAGTTTTCCGAGTCACAGTAAGAGCAACTGGATTAAATTTAATAGTCTCCGATATACAGGAAGTCTCTGTTGGGCTCAAACCATATGAAGCAATGCATTTTGAGATAACAAAAAATAGAAGAACAAGATGGGAAGCTGACAACAAAAATATATATTTTGCTCCCTGCTTTTTTGTCCCTTTTGCACCTATCAGATAATTTATTTGTCAAAAATGATGGGGCAAATGAAAAAGTCAGACGCCTCATTTTGCTGCTGAGGAGGCTGGGAAGTCCAGATGTCCCATCGGTCTCCTTCTTGACGGCCTCGGTCCGTCCTGAGTGAGGAATGGCAGCAACGTGCTGGCTGTTAGCAAGGTCCCACTCTCCACAGTTGCTACACATTGGGGTTATTGTAAGCTCTGAAGACAATTTATCAAATTACATTTCTGAAAAATGGTTCAATGTGAGTCGTACTTACTTCACACTTCTCTTGCTGCAGGGTCTCGCTATTGGCTGCGGGATATTTATTACCTCTGATGCCTGCTCTGAGAATCTCCTTTCCGGGTCTGTATTTCACATTTAAGGAGTGCTTTTGCAATTTCATGACTGTTTTCTGAAGTTAAGGTAACACTTTGCAACGCCTAATGGTTTATGGCCCGTTTCAGACTTCACTGATTTCTGCCCATTACTAGGAAACTACTCACAACTCCAAAATGCTGCTTCTCCCTCATTCTGCTGTGTTTCAGCCGGTACTTTGAAAGCACAGACTTTAAGGGCAACGACAGGGACCATCTCACCTCAACCAGGACAATTTAGTTCACATGGTAGTGACTGAACCGCAGCCAGTGTGGCCGCAGCTCGGTGACGGTGCAGAAGGGGGACGGCACGCTACCGTGGGAAATGCCCAAGAACTCCCAGCCTCCTTTGGTTGAAACTATGGACCTACAGCTGAGTGAGTCCATTTTGGGCTTAGGAAGGATGGATTCCTTGCTTACGCTCATGTAGCAGCATCCAAAGGCACAACGCAGACTGCCACTGGCTCTGGCTGGGACTCACAACTGGTTACTGCCTGGCCTTTGTCACACTCGTGCTGTCCATGCACAGACAAGAAGGTTTCAGAGCTTCAAGGACATCAGTCGACCTCACGCACAGCAGTCTCCTCACTCCTCAGGAGAAGAGGCTACGAGCACAGAACCCAGAGCTACGCTCTGTCTTGGACATCAGCAGGTCATCCAATTCCCCGTGTACCTTTAAAGTGCTTGGCAGGTTGTGACCAGCACACTTAAAAACCTGCTTAAAGTTCTGGTTAGTAAGTCAGGTGTCCTTAGAAAGGACACCACTTGCCTTCCAAAGCAAATTTTTTGTCTCTGTGGGGGACTGAAATTCCCTGGGGACTGGTCTGAGACTGCGGAACACACATTTACAAGAGCAGGCAGCTGCTGCAAACCTCACCACCCGCTGTGCTGAGTGATGTGTCTGTGGTTTTGATCTTTTCTTTTTTTTTTTTTTTTTTGAAAAATACATAGTGGCATATGCATTTAAAACAAACATGCTCTGAAAAAAAAAACAACCTAAAAACCTCCAGACAAATTTCCCCTACTCCTTCCCAAAACAAAACTGAAATAAACAAACCAAAACCTCTACAAAAACAAAATACACCCCTGCACTTGCTCCTTGCTGCTGGGGAGAGAATGACAGATGTATAACAGAAGCTATTTATGTTGGTTAATACGTTACTGGGGAGATGCTGAGAGATTGTAGTGGTAAGTTTAGAAGCAACCGGATAGGAAATATATTGGAATAGAGCAGATCCTCACCTGCCCACAATGTCATTCCACCAAGCATTCAATTCTAAGTGATGTGTCACAGAAATCCTGCACTAGGTTCGTGTGAAAAATACATGTGAAATACGGAGCACGCTCAGAGCCTTTCTGTACAACAGCATCCTACAGAAATTCTCACTCTTCTGCTTCCTCCTTGCTTTCACATTTCACAGAAATGTCCCCCTCCACTTGCAACCATCTCAAGGAGCTGTACTCAGAGTACTGGGAGTTATAATAATTCCCTTTTTTCCTTTTTCAAATTTTCTCTTCTTGCAAATATTTGGAGTCAGAAAGTGCTCTTGTGCTCCATGGGAAAATATTGGTTTCAATGAAATTGTAATATTCATTATCAGGATGATCAAATTAACAACATTAAAATAACAATGACAGAATCATTCTCATTTTCCATTTCAAAGCAAAATAAAACAACACTTTGAAATGGTTATTCAAAGCATGTTGTTTAGATAGAGAAAATCTTATTATTTGAATCCAAACCCACTGATCTTTCCCCTAAACTGTTTATTAAAGATAGTTTCAAATTTGCTATTCCACAGAGTCTCAGCTTTTCACCTCTCCATGCTTCTCCTTGGAACAGAAACTGACTATTGAAATGTCCCCAAAGGAACAACTTCTCTTTCCTAAATAAGAATAATGATGCCAGGAACAACAATGAGAATAAAAATCACAATAACCTGATCCTAATGCACAGGGCTGTGTTACCAGACAGCGATAAAGCTGAAATTCCCTCTGGTGGGAAGACTTTCCGAATGCTCCACCTGGACTCCGACTAATCGATGACCAGATGATAAAACACATTTACAAACACTCTCACTATCAGAGTGTCCTGCAGGCTCCTCTTTCCTCGCTGTCCCAAACTAATTATTTGGACAAACTGACATCCGATAGCCAACACACTGGTGCCTGCCCACCCTGCCATCCCACGGGAGCTGTGCTGAGCTGCACGGTGTTATCTCCAGCTGTCAATGGAGTTGTTTCTCCTTCTCGCCCTCCGAGCTTTCATACCATCCCAGAATGTGGGAAATTAACTTTTGCCTGTGTTCACCCACAAGACACGTCTCTGCTGAAATTTCCCTTGAAGAGAAGGGAGACAAAGCCCTGAAAAGGAAGGATGGGCAAAAAAGAAAACAAAATGCCTCTCTGAGGTTTGCTTTTATCAGAGCATCACTTCAGATGTCACCATGACATGTAAATGCAGAAATGCATATGCTGCCTGTAAATTCATTCTCATTACTGGCTTTGAGTCAAACCTGGCCAAAAATGTTCTTAGCCTAACCTGGGACACGTGTGCCTCTCAGAGCTGTGGAAAGAGCAGACGACAGCGGTGTCCTGCAGCATCTGGCAGCTTTGGTGCTTGGTCTGTCCACATGCTCTCTGTCCAACCCACATGGAATGATGGATACATATGAGCCATATCCCACGCCACAGCTCATTCATTCTTTTTCAGCCTCACAAACCCTAAGTACATCTGCCCTGGACACAAAACACTGGAGGTGTCAAAACCTTATCCCTGGCTCACCTCTGGTCCTGCCTCATGTGAATATACACATAGCAGAATAAAGAGCCCTCAGCTATTACAGACATCACTTACTGGACACACAACTTGTGTAAATAAACAAGAAAATCTATCAGAGACACTCTTGCAGCTATTTGGTTCCTATCCTTTTAATTATTTTTCTTTGCATTCTGACCACCTTTGTATGAACAAAGTATTGAGAAGATGTGTGTGTCATGGGCTCCTGCAGCAGGCAAAGTCTCTGTCATAAGGCTTGTGGGAATACAGCTCTCAAAAATGAAGGAGGTATTCCCAGACATTATTTACAAATAAATCTCTGCTTGTGTCCCTATCACAGATTTACATGTTCTGCATTTCATGTAGTTTTCTGACCACCTTATATTGTGCCAGCTTTTCCAAGAAGAATTATCTAAAAGTAATCACAAGAGCCATTAATTTATATAGACAATAAATGTCTCCACCAAAAGTTCCTTCAGTAACGCTTTGGACTTTGGGTCCTATGGAACTATTGACTGAAATGGGAACCAGACGCAAAACTCAATACTCCTCTGGCCTTTCTAAAGGCCAATAATTCTTAAAGCCACTCATAGTGCTCCATAATCTTTGGCACAGACCATATAACCTTTCACTGCGCACCTACTGTATTATTTCTCCCTACTTTACTGGAATTTTATAGCTTACCTATAATGCTAGAATGATCTTGTTTCTAACAGCAACAAAACACATGACTGACAAAAATCGATCGCAACTGGGTGGCTTTAGAAATTTTTTTTTTTTTTTGCATTTCTGTAAATTCCCTCAAAAGAACTCTCCAGGATAAATTCAGAATGGTATTTTTATGGTCCCAAGTTTGAGGACTCAAGTTCACGGCTGTGAGATCTGTGAACCCTTGGATCTTTTCAGAACCTGTAAGTGATTCACTAAACTACATTATGTTTCAGGAAGGAAGGTCAAACAAAAACCTGTTCAGCTCCAAAGCATGTAGAAAGATTAAACCATATGAACTGGAAGAAGGTTAATTGGGAAAGGCAACCTACCTTGGAGAAATATCACATCCCTGCTGCATGAAAGCTCCTAGGGAGAACCAGAGACTGTTGAATATCCCAAACTCATTCGTCTGGTCGTTGGCTGGCTGGTCCCGTCCTTCCTCGAATTCCTCGGTGTGCCACTCATAAGGGCTGAAGCGACTCACGAGGAAGAGGACAACGCTCACTCCAATGTAGGCAAAGACAATGCACATCCATATCTCGTAAGCCAAAGGGTCCAGAAAGGAAAAAACTCCTGGTTTGGACTTCTGAGGTTTTTTTATCATGATAGAGATACCTAAACTCATGAACGGTTTAGAAAAGTCTATAACCTCTTCTCGAACCAGAGTGATGGTTAATGGTGCCACAGCCACATCCGCCCTCTGAAAAGGAGAGACAGAAAAGAGATTTGCATTCTGGGGATAAAATAGATCTCCTAACTCCAGCTTATGCTCCTTTGATCTCTGTTTACCCCCACTATCTCAGAAGCAATCAGACAAAACCAATTGCAAGAGAAATGTTAAAAGAAGTAGCCCATAATATTGGTGGATTATTTCCATTTTATCAGTACTGATTACCAGTTCTGTTTTGAAATCACAGCATTTTCTTTTTGCAGCCACCTAGCTCTTTGTGTCTGATTTACCCACTGATGTCACAGTCTGATGCAGATGATTTTTGCTGAAAGAGCTTTATCATCCAGACATCACAAGAGGCAAGGAAAGGCCAATCGCCTGAAAACGGATGCCAGCGTGTTTACTTCCATCAGGAACTGCTTTTTGATTGCATAACTGATGCAGGAGATGAGGAAAAATGTTCCAGTGACACTGATGTGCACTCTCCACTTATTTTACAATCTGTCTTGAAAATGGAAAGGGAAACGCACTGAAATGGCTGTCGGCAGATACTGGGGAGCTACCAGCAGGAGACAGATCATCCCCTGCTCCAACACAGTGACACAGAGGCTTGGGCACTGATGCTCCCTACACTAATTTCCCCTTTCCCTAGGAGGGAAAATCAGAACCCTCTGAAGGATGACCTAAACACCACAGATTCTGAACTACCAAACCGAACCAGGTTTAGAAGTGCAGGGTGCAGATGTATATCTGAGATGATGGAAATGAGTGTCTAGATAGAAAGCAGCCTAGTCCTACTGCTCACCAGTCACATGCTGAGTGTTCAAATCTTGTCCTTCTTTCATCCTGCCATTATCATGCAAATATAAATTAGAGTAAAATGTGGAGATTCTACCCATGGGAAAGTTTGACGTTTCAATACTTCTTCTTCCAAAAATGGAAAGAAAAAGAATCTTGGAACTGTTGAAAGGAAACATTTTGACATTTCCATAGGCACAAAATATGCTGTCCCTCCCTAAATTAAAAAGTTTTACTTGGGTTGATTGTATTTTTGGAGCTGCAGTCCTCAAGACAGCTCAGGCTGACAGAAGGCAGGGCTCCTTTTAACTCTAGGGCTTCAATATGTTCTCAAGTACCAGCAGCTAAAGACAATGGACAAGGTTGGAAGCTCACCCCATAGACGAGTTCTCCCACCATGCCATTCCACGTTTTGGTGTCGGGGTCCCGGGCTCCATACTTCCCATCTCTGACGATCTCCAGCCTGTAGTGGTAGCCAACATGCTTCGCAATCTCAGCAGCGAGCTCCACACAGTAGCCTTCATACCTCTCGTTGCCTTCAAACTGGTTGGCATTCTTCTTGAGCATCACATATGGATCTTCCTGGCACAGAGCAGACCAATATTGAGGAATGCTCCACGTTCTGGAGACGCGTATCAGGGGCTCAGACTAGACCCCACTGTGTAGCTTCTGGTCCCCTTGCAAAGCTCTTGCTTTGTGTTTCTGTACCGAAGGGCACAGTCAATACACAAATGGGCTTATTTTAGAAGATAGGAGGTATGATTTTTATTGTGACATTCAGTTTATTCATGCAGAATCATGCAGCTTCTTGCAGGATTCCTGAGGGGAATGAAGTAGCTGGGGCAATTTGGGCACCAAACCTTTCACTGCAGTTCTAGAGGGGATATTTAGAGCATCGGAGCTGTGAATTTTTAAAAGCCCGTCTGCCTGTGGGGGCACAGGCAGAGTCAAATCTACTGGACAGGATAGCGCCTTAAGATTTTTAACTCAGTTTGGGTATTGTGTCTTCTCTGCAGACTTCCAGTAAGCATTCAACAAACAAGTCAGTAAAATTTCGTGTTTCTGCAGGGTAAGCGTGTGCAATGACACAATACATGATACCATACATTATGGTACCTATTATTCCTTCATTATTATAGTGGAGATTTGTTTTTAAAGCTATGATTCAGCCTCTCTGCACAATACAGCTTATCCTTCCCAAAATTACAGCCCCCATTCTGTGGGCTAAATACAAAGCACAGGTATAATGTTCCTAATTTACCTATGCTGATGCCTCTACTATCTTGTCATAATCTTTTGTGTTTTCTACACTTAAGCATGAGAGCTCTTTAATACCTATTTAATTAGCCACAGCAATTTTCAGATACCTTTATGGACCTGGCAGGAAATAGTAAATGCTGTTATTATTATTATTATTATTGTTATTGCTATTATAAAAATGATACAGTGCAAAGGAGGGCACATGAGGGGGAAGAGGGAGTCTGCACATCAGGGAGATGGAGGAGAGGGAGAGCTGGGATAGAAGTCACAGCACTTACTAGGATAGTTGTGACTATGTAAGTCCTGTTCTGGAGGCTTGTAGACTCATTGCCGCTTTGAGTGTCTATGGCTGCTGGAACCAACTTCTCATCTTCATTCCAGTAACCAATCTGCCAAATACAAAACCAGGATATCTCATTGATATCTCTTTGTAATATTAACCAAGATATGGTTACAGGGCCATGCAAGCAGGGTCAGCTCGCTCTCTATGTTCATACCCAAACAGAGTTCTCCTCTCCTGATTCTTGATGATGTTTGCTGGTGGGACCAGGAACTCCCCCATCCCACCATGCCTCCAGCCTGAAAATAACATGCATGATACGCTACAGCAGCAGAGTGCTTGCATGCACGTAAAAATATTTGGCACATGGTCCTGCGGGATTACTCCATCCCCTGCCTTATCCCTATGGCAAGGGTTCACACTTCCTCTGTATGGCTTCTGAATATTTTTCTGATGGTGAGCATGCCTTCTGCACGGCCAGATGCTATAGGGTGTTAAAATGCTGTCCTGCAGCTGAAAGCCTCCGTGAACATAGGAATGACTCTTAGGACATCTTGAGACAACAGGACAAAAAAAATCCAGTGAGAAAAAACTCCCAACTTTGGCCAGTGTCAAAAAGTTTGGGGTTATGAATAACCAGATCAGTTGTAATGGGAAGACCTCTCATGTTAAACTGTGCTTATTAATAATCAGGGATTTGGGCTGATCTATCACTGCTTGCAGGTAAAGCAGAGTGCCGCTGAATATCACTAGGAAGATCATTGTTGAGGTTATCCACTTTGAGAGCTTGATTTTATAAGAGGTTTTCCATCACCTCATGTAAGCATGAAGTTGCCTGAGTTCTGCTCCTGTGAAAGGAATTTTTTATCACAGTAAATGGGAAAGGGTATTAACACAGGGCACGACCAGGAGCCTGCTGATGGCAGATTAGAGATCATGACAGCTCAGAAGGAAAAATCTAAGCAGGCTTCTCATCTCTCTTCATTGCACAGACAAAAAGAAAGGAGAGCAAGGAAAGAGCTTCCAAAGCTCTGCCCTAGGGGAATGTGAATGGGGACATGTATGTTTGTTTTGCACCTCTAACCTGGTGGATCTAAGATACAATATGCATCGTGGCAGTGATGTACATGTCTTCCAAACAAGTATCATTTCTGTCAGTAAATACACAGCCAAACCAAGACATTTAGCTGTTGCACTTTTTCTCCTCTAGACTCTCTCCAGATTGACAACTTCTTAAAATTCAAAGCCCAAAACTGGACATAATACTGTATTTGTCCTCTTATGAATACCAAGCAGATGAACAAGACGAATTTTATGTCTTCAAAATGACACTTCTTTTTTTTCTCAATGAGAAATTTGCCTTTTTTCACTTGACTGTGGTGGGCTTTGATCTCACTTAGTCTGCTCTCGGGTGTAAGTATGAAATCTGGGGTAGGGGATGTAAATGTGGAGCTTTCACTCTTTTTCTTAGATCCAAACAAGTCTCTTATTTTTCAAAGGTCTGAGAGGGTGCAGAAGGAGGCCAGTGAATGCCCCATTCCAAAATATATGGTAGCTCTCCTTTATTGATGGAATAACTCAGTTATTCTTTGTTCTTCAGATGGGTAGTATCTAAGGCTAAGGTGGGACATGAGCACATAGAATCAGATTTTCAGAAGGATTAGTGTTTCAAGGGGTCAGCATCCCTGAACAAGGCCAGATTTTTCAAAGTGCCTGGAATATAGAAAGGGATCAAGACTCCAGAACAGCATGAATGTCTGTATAGCTATCAGGACATGGTTAAGCTCTTATCACTTCAAGGAGAGCAGAATTAGGTCAACATAAAGGGTTCACCTACACTGGCTAGGGCAGACAGCTTCTGCTTGGATCTGCCTTGGCTCATCTTTGGAAAAGAAAAGCAGGAGAGCAAAACCAGACAGTCTTGCAACTGGGACTGAGCCAACGTGCCCTGCCAATAGCAAGTCTGAGTGGGCCAAGCTTTTACTTTCCTGAAAATCCTTGTCCCACAGCAGAGATGCCCTTGTTGCTCTTGATAACCCCTTCCATATGTTGTCTTTTTTTAGTAATACACCATGAGTTTTCCCTTGTGTTTATCTTTGCACATGCAGGGAGCTGGGAACGCACTTGTGGTGACTCCACATGCAAGCCTTCATGAGCAGAAACGTCTGTTGAGATCTAACCACACCATAACTTGAACGCCGGACTGACACAGGATTTCAGGTTGCTCTATACTTTACCTTTCTGATCCCATCATGTTTCATCTCAATCACATGGAGAGTGTAGTTGGTCCTCCGTCCCTTCTCATTAAACTGAACGTTGCCAGACAATCCTTCAAAACGGACCTTAAAAACATAAATACCAATGAGGAGAACAAATGGGTCAGTATCCCACGTGGTGGGGATTTGTCAGCAGTAAGAGGTGAGGGGAGGAAGGATGGAGAATGCAGACATGTCTCTCAAATCCATGGAGGGAGACAGGACATCTGTCTGACAGCGGGCTTTTGCTTAGGTACATTCTTTACAGCATGCCTGGCCATGTGCACACCCTTTCTCTTAACTTACCCTTTCTTATAAAAACCCTTTCTCTTAAAACTTAGTGGTCTGCTACTGAGCTCAGTGATGCGTAAGAGCTGGATCATGTCTGTGAGCACATCACCTCTTAGGATGTGACAGTGAGCTAAATTAGCTCTGAACTCTTTGTGTTCTGTGGGTGTTTTTTTATATTTTCTAAATCTGACCTGGAGTCAGGATTTGGTAAAGAATTTGTCAGTCCAAATCAGGAACTGTATTTGGAGGAAATACGAAACCGTGGCCACAGCTCCCAGCTGCCACCTTTCGACAGAGAGGAGTCTATCAGTCAACAAGCACATTTAATTACCTCTGCACCAGCCTGGTAAAACCTGACAATTTAGTATTGTAAATGAGATTTGCATAGAAAACTTTTAATCATAAATCTCTGCTGATAACATCGCCAAGCTGAAGAGCATTGCTCACATCACATTCCACGTCCTGAACTCCTCTCAGTGTGGCCATTTGACTTGCTGCCAAAGTGCCCAGCCTGGTGCGGAGAAGGGCTTCCGACTGGGGTCACATATGGTGTGACCAGAGCAGGCAGTGGGGACCAGGACTGTGGGAAAAGGAGTGCAAGTTTGGGTGTCTCCAGCGGCCATGTGGAGGAGTACTCACACCACCAGATTCACTGGGAATTAAAGGTCTATTCTCAGCCCTTCCACTTGCTTCAGAAAAATCTATTGTCCCCGAATTGAAGTCTTCCCACATGCAAAATGGGAACAGGTATTTACTGCCTTTTTATGTGCCCTGACATCCTCAGAATAAAGACCCATAGTGAAGAAACGAGGATGAATCACTACGGAAGAAATCTGTTGCTAATCTGCTCAAACCGTGTTTGTTTTCTAGCTATTACCACAAAGGTTTGTCATGAAAATGAACATCTGCCAGTATTTTCTGAAGCTCCTTCAAGTCAAGAGGTATTCCTGGTGATACTTGGAGAAACATGCTTTTCCCTTCTCACAAGACACAACACATCCATAAAAGACAGATGCACTATTTTCCTAAGCACTGCTTTTTCATGGCCCCTTTGGTTTTCTTTTTTGGGTCTTGACTGATTCTGAAGCTCAGGTCACAGGTGCTCATGTTTTGTAGCTTTATATGCACTAAAAGGCAGGTGTACAGAACCAGTTTCCTCTGAATGAATGAAATCTGAATTGTCTGATATCCATGTGACACTGAAATGGCAAAAGGGGTCTCTCTCATCCATCCTGGAGGCTGCAGCACAGCTTTTCCATCATTTACTGTCCTCTGAGACCCCCTGAACCACTACCAGCCACAGTGAGGACTGATTTCAACAGTGCTAAGCACCAGTAAAGTCAACTGGAGTCATGGAGCATTTAAGCACATTTATGTATAAGACACGAGCATGTGGTTCTTTGCTGGGGGAGCTGCAGGAGAAGGATGCTATTGTGGCCTCCCGGTTTGCAGGGACTAGCTACTTGCTTACTAGAGGTGCTAACCAAATAACATTAGCAAAAAAAAAAATCAGTCAAAAATTATCATAATCTTTTCAAAGTAAAACTGAAACTTCAGTGCGTTGTTTTAAAGCGATATTTTGTGAGGTTTTTTTCCTGGAAAAAAAGTATTTATCTTTAATAAAAGCACACATTTTGCTGAGATGCATTAGATTTCTGTTTCTGAAAAACTGCAGAATGTTTTAAATTGCTTTTCATCTTTGCTCCTGCCATCCATGACTTCTTCCTACACTAAACAGAAATAAGGCAATTCAGGTGCTTATTCCAAACATTTGAGTAGAAATAAGTAGAGAAACCTTTTGCTTTTAAACAGCTTATAAAATTTTAGGCATTAGCAAATGGGAGGTGAAGAGAAAGCACACTGTGAATAGCTGCAAGAATTGCCCTAATTGTGAGTCTTTACAGAAAGGATAACTCAAACCTTCAATCTAATAGTAAGTTCTTCTATTTCCATCTGCCTTTCTTGCTACAATACTAAATGTTGGATGATTATTAAATTCATAGTTAAAATTTCCCTAGGAGACTTTTTCCCCTACCTGTTTCAGAGCCTTTTATTTTCACCATCTCAACTAAACTGATCAAACCTTTTGAAAACTATAATTTTTCAATGGTAAAGAATCAACTTTAGCAAATGGTTCATCATGTTCTTTGCCCAAAAGCACTACAGTTGAAAAATTAATACTTTTGAAATTGTTTTAATGAAGAGATGAGGAAACTTCAGAGGAGATCGTCCAACACACACCCAAAGTTGTATTTTCTAGCCATCTGATGTTGATATTCTATCCTCATAAATTCAATAAAGGAAAATGCTTGAGAACCCATTGCTCATTAGAAGACTTCCAAGTATTTCATATTTATTAGGTAACCAACCTCCCTAACGCATCAAGAAGGCTGATTTTATTACAAGGGTTTGGAGAAGCTCTGACAGTGATTTGCCCAAGGTCATACAGAAAGTCAATGACAGACTTAGGAAAAAATTGAATCCAAGCAATAAAATAAAATCAAAGGCAAGATTTAGTTTTAAAGAAATTGTTGTTTACCAGTAAGCCAAAACTGAATCAAAACAGAATACTTGGGGAAATTTACATATGATGCAAATTAACCAAATTAATTTTGATCTTCTTGCCTTCTTCACAGTTAAGGAAAGAACATGGGATAAGATATACTTGGATAACACTGAACTATCAGTGTTTATAAGGAATCCATCTATTTTATTCTGAAAAAAGAAAAATGCTAGAAATTAATGTCAGTCTTGAAATGTAATGAAATTTTGAAATGTTCTACCTTTATAAGTTTTGGAGTGTATTGTTTTTCTCTCTCACTCTAAATTTCATGTAGGTTTTTTTGTTTATTCAAAAATCTAATTTTTTTTTCAGGATGAAAAAAGCAAGATTATCAGATTTAAGGAATAAACTATCTAAATGCCTGTTATTAAGACTTTTACCAATCCTCATAGTATGAAACAAGCTACAGTCTGGGCTTTGAGAACATTTTGATGATAACCAACACATAAGGCAAAATTCACATGGTTTCAAGCTTCATTAGCAGTCTGGAACTGAAGCTGAGTTCACACAGAGTCAAAGGAGCTTCAAAAAACATGGTCTGAGCAGGTCTCTCTCTTGGGAAGGGGAAGATAAAAAGAGACATAAGATTTTATGAGATAATATTTTGGCTTTTCCATTCCAGAACTCAACAGAAATTAGAGAAGTCAAGGACACACCAGATGGTACCAGGAAAAGCAGTTTGCTGGATGTGACCCTGAACTCTCTAGGAGACCTGGCTCTAATGGGGAAGGCTCAGTTCCTCATCCCAAGTGATTGGTTTGAGCGTTTCTGCTGCTAATCCCACCTCTTCCCCCACCCACAGACTACATTCAGCCGTTCTTGCAGCACACACATCAGTTGGGTTTCGAACCTGCTGCAGAGCTCTCTGGATGTCGATGCCTTGTCCCCAGGGCACAGCCGGGTTGGCAAGGCAGTCCCCAGCGTTGCCGCGACGGGAGATGTCGATCCGCTGCCTCCGCAGGTTCTGAAAGGCCTCGGCCATCACCCGGACCCCGTCGTACGTTAGGGCTGATGTGTACTAGAAAGAGAAGAGGAGTTGTACGTTGCCTGTCAGGGTGAGCTGACCTCAGGCGTGCTACACTGGTTTGCCTCATGGCATTTTTTAGATGATTTGTCCTGTTTTCATCCTTCCATCTATGAAGATGAACAGCCTCTTGCTCCCTGTAATCACCACTGTCCTGTTGACTCGTGAAAGTTGGTACCTTCTCTCTCAGAGGACAGGAGAGCGAAGGAATGGGTCCTGATTCAGAACTAGGGGTGGCTCTGCTTTGCCTTTCAGTCTTCCAGCCCAGCTGCCTTCAGACTGCACTCCCTGAGGAGCACTCAGCCCTAAAAGCCATTCACCTGTAACCCAAGTCTTTGTGTTTAATCAGAATCTTTGACCTGAACCTTTAAGGAATACATTATACAGTGTAAGTGTGAGATACACAAAATCAAATAACAAGGGATCCTTTCTAGTCACAGGTGGACGCCAGAAAACCCTACTTCAATGTGCAAAAAATCTGCAAAAGTTGAGGTCACTCAAGCAGAAGCTTGTACAGAAAGGGTTTGAAGGGTGTTATTCTGAATAATAACCCTCAGACTTAATTTATTTTCCTATGATCACCTAGTGATTAATTTGTTTGCAACTTTCTCAAACTAATACTTCCGAAGTTAACATTTCTATTGCTGACTGTTTGTCACAAGTGTATTTGTTTTCAAATGTCAGCTAGAAAAAAAACAACCTCCCCCCTCTCCTTTCCCCTCTGCAGCTTCAGGGTCTTGTGTCTCTCTTAGGACTTAAAATATATTTCCCCTCTGTTGTACACACTGATTTGAAATGCTCAAAAAGAACATCTAGAAAGACGTTTTTTGTTACTGGATATCTAGTAAACAAGTCAAAGGCTACGAAGTTAATGAGGCTTTTTCTTCTCTATGTACTGAACATTATGAGATGTTTAATCCTTAGCTTTAAGGAGGGTAAAAGCAAGGAGGCTAAGTGAATACACCAACTTGTGTATTTCTTAGCAGACAGTACTACTGTCTATTATCATTTAGACAGTGTTGAGGCACCTAGAATGGATACTGTTCACAATCATATTAAATGATGGGTTTGCAGAATGAGATTAAAGAGCAAAGAGATGAGCATAACTTTAATTGAGCCAGATGGACCCTAAATTAAACATTATTTTTTTTTATACCACTTGCCTTTGGCCTCTTCCAGTCCACACGAGGATGCTCCCTGGCATCATTATTCCTCCACTGCTGCATAATCCTGGCGGGAACAGCATCCGTGTAATTCACCAACTGGAAGCCAGTTACATTGGCTCCGCTCTCCTTGAATTTGGTCAGGTCAATATCCATGAACCCCTAGTACAGGAGAGAAACAGGAGAAGCTCATTGGAGGAACATATCTCAGGGTGGATAAGAGGAATCCTGTCTATCCATGCATATGGCAGCCAGCTTAGGGAAAATCTCTTCCCTCTGCGAGGCAAGGTCTAGTTCAAGAGAGGCACCACTTCCCTTTCTCACAGGCTCTGAGCTGGACATATCTTCTTGTTTCCACCCAGGAAGACAAATAATCATATTAATAACAGCTCATTTGCAAGAAAACTAAAAGAGTAATGGAAAAATATATCCCAAATAATGCTTGGATGAAACTAATAAAATTCTCCAAATATATTAGAAAGAATTATTCACCCAGATGTAACTTTTATACAGAATTATTCACTCAGCTCTGGCTTTTATGCACTCAGTCACTGATCAATAGGCTACTTCTTTTCAAATCACAGTTTGCAGAGGAAAACAAATCCTGAACAATGAACTTTCAGCATATCAAGAAGTAAGTGGTTGGTCAGCTTGTCAAAGGAGTCTGTCTATTAGAAAAGCCAGTTTATAGGATTTGCTAATTTGGGAGGAAAAAAGGGTACTTTTTTGGACTTCAGATTACTAATAAAATACATTTCTTTTATTTCTTTGTTATTCTGCTCTACTTCTTGCCCACTGCATATGATGAACGCAAGTGCGCAAATACACATGTGTATTGGGGTGGAATTGTAGAATTAGTCACTGCTGTTGAGTCAGAAGCAAAAAAATAATTAGAGATACACTGCAAGCAATATGGAGAAGAGGTCATTTTTGGTGTCCCAGCTTTGATCCTGTCTCATCAGCACTCCTGCTATGCAAAACTGTTTGCTGTGCCTCCTTGCACAAGGCAGGTGCTTGGACAGATACTCTCCCCTCCTGCTTGGGCTGCTGTATGTGGCACAGGCTGATGTCTGGTGCTTTTTCTTTTGGAATACAAGCACAAGAGATGCAGCCAGTTATTTTCCCTACTACTGTTAACAACATAATGCACAAGGGAAAATGAATGTGAGGATTAATCATAATGCAACAGAAGAGCTTGCTCGAGGTCTGCCTTCCCCCTGCCCTCCACCACATGCTGCTGGTGCCTGTTCTCTGCGGGCACCTTCTCAACCTACCCCTGGGTTTCTCTGCCTTGCTTTGTCTCAAACATATGATGGTGTGAGTTAAAAAAGGCAAGTCACGTTGTTCCCAGGAGACACCAGTCAGGGTCCCAAACTGGTGTTCTCTGTGAACAGGCGGAGGGAGCTAATTACCTTATTCCCCTCCAAGGCCAGGATCAAGCCATTAGACAGAAACCGGTTTTGAGAACAGACAGCTTGCAAGGAAAAGACTAAATTGCCCTCTCACATCAGTGTCAGACCGAGGGAGTCCTAAGTGACTCAAAAATGTGTTTAAAGACTTTCACGCTTTTTCTTCCAGCTTTTTGTAAGCAATTTGGCATTTGCTTACAAGGCTGAGGACTGGATACGGGTGTACAGATGCTCTAAATAGATTATTTGTTTTGCTCCAAAGTGCAGTGATTTAGAGTAAAAAAAAAAAAAAAAAAAAGTTATATTTTGTGTGTATGTATTCCTCAGAATGCTGGTTAAACCCACATCAATCTTGTTTGTAATTGCTAGCGTAGGGGTTTCAGAAAGCCAGAGCTGTGATTAACAAATAGGAAATGCAGCAGGATAATTGTCCCTGACATCTTAATGCATTCCAGGCCAAGAGTTTTTTGACACGCAAAGCTCCTAAGGTTCGGTAAGAGGGACCTCACAGGTTGCCAACTGGTTATTCATGGCTGGGACCAAATTACACTGACATTTTGCTCCTGGGAGGTACTCAGGGGAAAAAGATCTGTCGAAAGAAACTACCACACAGCAACTTGAAGTTTGTGCCACCAGCTCCTCCCTGGAAGGCTACAAAGGCACGAAGAAAAGTCCAAGTTCACAGCAGAGTATGAGTAAGATGTCTGGTGTATTTAACCCTCTCAACAAACAGATTTAAATAGGAAAAGTAAAAAAAAAAGATTGTGACATCAGTGATGAGACAGCAGCAGTTGAAAACACTGTTTTTCACTGTTTTCCCCAAACCAAACCATTCTGAAACTGATGCAAGTATTCAAAAATATTCACTCGGATTCATCTTACATACAATTTAAGAATCATCTGAAGAGACAAAAGGAATTATTTCTTCCCCAAAGACTGTAATAACTTTTCCCCACTGATTTTTGACAGAATTCGAGTTCTTTAAAAAGTGTGGAGACCTCTGAGGATTTTCCATTTAAGGTAGCTGGGACCATAAAAGTCATAATTAACCTTGATTATATCTTTGCATTTCAGCTGTTATCAACTGCAGAAATAACTCTTTTCACCTGTTGTCCCTCCTCCACATGCCCCAGTACAAGGTCAGTATAGGAACGGTCCTAATTACAAAGGAATTTTAACCACTGCGCCACTGAAATCTGCTCAGAGCAGGTCTGGGTGACATGACAGCCAATGAACTGGGAATACCAGAGGTCAGGTCTTATAGAAAAGAATTCCCAAAGCAGGTGAATTCTTGCTGGCTAACATAAACAAAAATACATAAAATGTTATGAAAACTGACTCTTGAAAGTGCTTCTATTGACAAAGTAACATCAGGAATTAAATATGCTTATCTGTCTTCCTGGAATGTCAGTCAGTGCTTGTAGGAAACAGGAGAACAGCAGAATTACAATATTCGCAAGTAAAGAAATCATCAATCATCTGTCACTCTGTACTAACTATAGCCACATGTTGTAAAAAAGGGACCTTTTATTTAGTTTTCAATTGGCCATACTAGGAAAACAGAAAATACATTTTAAAAAAATGACTAAGAAAAGACTGCAACCCACTAGTGAGGGGCAGCAGACGTGCTTGTGCAGCAACATGTTTAGTATCAACCAGTCTGGGAAAGAACCAGCACAGAAATGCTTCCCTTCGTTATCTGACCAAGTACAACAAGGAGTGAGCGGTGCTGGAATGACATATTCCATGGGACCTCGGTGGCCAAAACCATTTCAAAAATTTGCCAGTGAATGCTGGAAAAAGCTAACTTTGCAGCCACATTTGGAGTGCAGCAGGCTGTTCAGGGAAATGAATTTGGAGGAATGTGACTTTCTTTATGCTCTTTAGACCTGATCCATTTGGGATGTAACTGTTGGAGATGCAGGATGCTTCACCTCCATACAGAGCACTGCCCGTCCCCCAGGGAGGAAGAGGAGGAATAGAGGAACTCTGCCAGCAGCCCTGCCAAAGCAGGCATAGCGGGACCCAGAGACAACACGGAGTTGCCCAGATGGGGTCACTGCCCAGGACGTAGGTACTCCAGCAGAGATGACGCTTCTGCAGGCATAGTTCTCTCTGGGAACCATCAAAACCAGTCTGGAAGGGACACGGCATCAGCCAGCCCAGCCCCTGCCTGGCAGCAGGATTAGCTGTCTTTTTGATTTAAAATCACTTTGCAAAATCATCTTGGCAAAACAGAGAATATGGATGGCCTCCTGCGTTGTGTATGCCTGGAAAATGCCTGGCTTTCTCTGAATGCCATCGAATTAACAGGCTGACAATAAACCACAAAAATCTGGACCCATCCGTGCTGATGGGCTGAGACAGCCTCCCTTCGCCATGCCTGCTCTGACTCACAGCGTCTGCAACACACAGTTTGAGCAACAGCCAGGCTCAGTTCAAAGGAGGAAACTTGCTCTTTACTCCCTGCCATGGACTCTTCTCTCTGCATTAATGAACCTCGCAAAGCGATTACATGCATAAGTCCTGCTGCTAGTAAATAATATGGGCTGCTGTTACAGCCCTTCATGCCTTCAAACAGAAAACAGAACAGCACTGGGAAGGGTTTTTTCCTCATTGTGTTTTCCTTGCTGCATCTATTCTTTATGTTGTTCTTAAGCTGAAAACATTTTTCAGCCAGAGGTTGTTTTACTGTCCTATTCGCTGCCATGGTTGCTGGGAGAGGTGTCAGCAAGTCACACATTTATATTCCTCTTCACTGCTTGTGGGCTCAATCATCAAAGGAAATGCATAATGCAGGAAGACTGATGACTTGAAATGGGCCTCATGAATCCATCTTGATTAACTGGCCCACAAAGGATCTGCCTCGAAAAGAAAGTCCCCCAGAAATGAGCCAGCTCCTTATTTATACCCCGAACACCACAAGGAGCCAAGACACCAAGCAGGCAGCGCAGACGGCTGTCAGACAACACAGGGAAAGCCTCATTCCTTCACGCATGACCCTCCTCAAACCTGCCAGCACCACTTAGTTCCCTGCGTGTCTCCTTTCACCCTCATATTTCACTGCCTCACCGTCCCAAACCTCTGCCTCCTCACCCGACACTGATGCACCGGGCAGCATCCCAGCCCAGCCCGCAGGAACAACCCTCCACACCTGGACATTGACAGGCAGCTGGCCACTGCCCCACGCCTTCAAATTCTCTCTGTATTTCCTTAAATTGCTGTTAGTTGCTGGCACTTTCCCTGCAGGGTGCCTCCTGCAGTATAATCCTGCCTTTGAAGCTGTAGTAACAGCACCAAGGGCTGGGCTCTGGGCACACGGCAGCCTCCCCGCAGCCCAGCCTAAAATCTCTGTGCCTTTGCTCTAAGTCTTGGCTTTTTGTGAGAGAAAGGACATTGGAGAGTCTCCTTGAAGAGTGCCATGTTTCTGAGAAACACTGTTGTTTTCTCTCCTCCTTCTGCATCTTCTGAGCCCTCCAGATCTCCCTCTGAGAATGGAAAGGCTCATCGCTGAATGAGGATTTGGAAAATGCCCCTTTCTCTTGAATTGCTTGGAGAAGGCTTGTTGGCTGAACCTCACACGGTCCTAGGAATGAGTGTTACGTTTCTTAGTCCCTTTCTGTCTGGGATGACAAGACTGGAGTCTTTTTTTTTTTTAATGACTTGCACACTGAAATACTCCTTTTCAAGGAAAAAGCATTTAAGCAATTCACCCTGAGCTTGGGTGGGTGCCACAGAAACCTGTGGCACCAT